AGTTTGGTGTACATCTAAAAGTTAACCTTCCTGGTCAAATACTGACTATGTAGTTTGGTGTACAACTTTTATTTTTTTTTTAATTTAAATAAAATATATTTAAATATTAGCGGCAGTAACCAATAAACTACATTTCGATTTATCGGGGTTTTTTAGCTTAAACTTGCCAACAGGGCCGAGAAGAGTTTGTTTCAATTATTTGAATCCCTACCCCGGGGAGATCGATTCTCTCGAGGGAGGCATCTCCGTTAGCTCTATTTGACAGGACGAGTCTGTGTTTCATGTTCACACCAGAATCAACAAAGATCGTCACCTTTCTCAGGTTCGTCGTCGCACAAACCTCGGCGCCATTGAACCGGGGATCACCTTCAGACACACCACGTCAGAGGACGGTAGAAAATGTGTTCCCAGTGTCAGCTCAACGCACCCTGGTCGCACACACGTTTGAGCTGGACCATAGTTTGGTGGAGTTTTTGCTATACATATTTAAAATCACTGTTGGTATGATTCGTGCACTCTCCCCTCTCTCTCTCTCTGTCTGTCTCTATCTCTCTCTCTCTGTCTCTCTCTCTATCTCTCTCTCTGTCTCTCTCTCTGTCTCTCTCTCTGTCTCTCTCTCCCTCTCTCTCTCTCTCTCTCTCTCTCTCTCTCTCTCTCTCAGTCCAATCTTTCACGCTTATACTTAACTAGAAATCTTCTTAGAGAGTGATCCCATACAAAGAATGTCCTCCTTTATAATCCAGTTTAGCCTTCGGAATTTCATTCATGATGTGTCCAATATAATGACGATGCTGATTCCTATATAATGACAACGATGTATCCATTATGATGACGATGATGTGTCCAATATGATGTCAATGATGTGTGCAATATGATAATAATGATGTCGTCCTATATATTGACAATGGGTGTCCCATCTATTGACTAAAGTGAGTCCTATGTATTGACAATCGTGTGTCCAATATTTGACCATGATGCGTCCTATATATTGACAATCACCTGGATTTTTAAAGGAGATCAATTATTGATTATTTAACATTATAATAAAGTATTTTAAATATTAGCTGTTGAATAAGTTATTATACATGTTTTTGTGTGTGTTTTTTTACAAATAATTCACTCAATCTACATGAAATTCGTTTCCTACAGGCAAATAAGTCACGCGTCCAGGGGCCCAGAGCCCATTGGGGCCATAAGGCAAAAGATCCATTTTTTAATGCTGGGTGTTGACTTAATTTGATCTCAACCGTACAATTAATCAATATAGTATTAAGTTATTGAGCTTGGGTCTCATCGTTGACGACAGAAAGTTGAGGGAAACAACCGAAGCGGTAAACTTTACCAAAGGCAGTTATCATCAGAAAGGATTTTTAGCAGCCTTTGGTCTTTTATGACTTCAAGGATTGATCGAATACAAAGTTCAGCTGACCGGATCAGTGAATGAACGACCAAAAATGTGAAGCATGATCCGAATCAAACACACATTGATGAGGCGCCAGCTTAAACATGGGGACAAATGACTGACGTCAGATGACAGACTGTTCCGAATGACTGACGTTAGATGACAGACTGCTCGGAATGACTTTCGTTAGATGACAGACTGCTCCGAATAACTGACGTTGCATGTAAGATTGCTCAGAAAAATAAACCACAAACAATACATTCATTTTATGATAAAATTACAAGTATGCAATAAGAAGTTGGGAGCTAAAATGATCAATACATTGATCGTGGGCCCTCAAAATATAGAAGAAGAAGTTATATCACTATACCGTGACCTATCTAGGGGGCCATGACTATACCGTGACCTGTCTAGTGGGTCATGACGATACCGTGACCTGCCTAGTGGGTCATAACTATACCGTGACCTGGCTAGTGGGCCATGACTAAACACGAAACATTCTTTTCTTGGTATGCAGATGAGGACCCCAATGTGGCATGATCTTTGGGAAGCTCTTGTTAAGCAGTTGAAGTTAACATGGGACATGCTCTTTTGAAAGTTCTTGTCAAGCAGGTGAATTTAAGCAAGATACATTTTCCTTTGGAAGCCAACGTCAGGGGTCATTATTTCTCATAATTATTCGGTTGACTACATACATGATAACATTGGAGCTACTTGTTCAAAGACGTTTCCTTCCGTGTATCAAAATGTGATATGTGGGCCTCATGTATCGTGTATTAGTAGTTTAAATATACTCTTTTAGCCTCATGCTGATGCAGATTATAGATATCTAATCTCATGTACCAGAATCTCATACTAAGGTCTGATGTTGAGGTGTAATGTACACATATGTAATATTTACATGTAATGTACAAGTATCTGATATTGAGGTTTATGTACAAATGTTTAAAATTGAGGTGTAATGTACAAGTATCTGATATTTAGGTGTAATGTACAAATGTAAGATACTAAGGTGTAATGATCTTGTATCTGAAATAAAGGTGTAATGTGCAAATATCTGAAATTAAGGTGTAATGTACAAGGATCTAAAATTTAGGTGTAATGTACAAGTATCTTATATTGTGGTGAAATGTACATGTATCTGATATTGAAGTGTAATGTACAAGTATCTAATATTGAGGTGTAATGTACAATTATCATACAATTTAGCTTTATACAACTTGTTGCCTATTTCATTGTTGTACACTAGGGTTTGTTATACACTGGGATTGGTTGTACACTGGGGTTGGTTGTACACTGGGGTTTTTGTACACTGGGGTGGGTTGTACACTGGGATGGGTTGTACACTGGGGTTGGTTGTACACTGAGGTTGGTTGTACACTGGGGTGGCTGTACACTTGGGTTGGTCGTACACTGGGCTGGCTGTACACTGGCGTTTGTGAAACACTGAGGTTGGTTGTACATTGGGTTGGTTGTGTCAGCACTGCCGTCCTCGTGCTGAAGGCAGGAAAAGAAAATGTACACTGCTTAACACTAGACATATACAAATATATTCAGCTGCTCAGCGTTAGGGCTTTGGAGCAATTTTTACATTGCGGGAATGATCTATTAATAGAAAAAATGTTCATTAGCAAACAATTGGTGTAAGGCGTGTGGGACAATTGTGGGACAGTTGTGGGACAGTTGTGAGATAGTTTAAATCATAGTCTTTTAAAGGACGGTTATAAACATGGCCGTCGGGGATTTCACTTTCTTCCTACGAGAACTTGATCGTAAACCAATCTCCTGAAAAACCCAACAACCCCGTTGCCCAGGGGTCGGGAACCTATGGCTCGCGAGCCAGACGTGGCTCCATTGATGGCTGCATCTGGCTCGCAGACAAATGTTCGGTTATAAAAAAAAAAAAGTCGCATTAATGGTAAGAAATACTCATTATTGATTAGCAACAGCATAACAATGTTATTAAAAAGAATTCAGAGTCATAATTATTGCATTTTTAGTGTTGAAATTACACAAAATGTACACATTTACTTGAATTTTTAGTTTTAAACATAATGCATGGCTCTCTCAGACAAAAAGGTTCCCAACCCCTGCCGTTACCTATTCAACGATTGGTTAAAAAGAAAGTTAGTAGGTGGCTAGGGGACTTCACCGGGGGCCACATTCAAAAGTGGACCAAGAAACAGTCTCACATTTGCTGATAGGTTTAGTATCTTGAACTTACCCAGCTCTTAGCCGCTATGCAACACTACTCAGATTAGTTGTCTTCTAATGGGCTACCATTCTCCAATGATTCAATGGACATAAAAAGACGATAGGTTGGGTGTTACCAGGGGCGTAGCTAGGGCTGGTGCCACCCGGGGCGAGGTACGATTTTTTGTCCACCCTATAGCGACACAAAAAAAAATGTAATCCAGTTTGTCGATAATGCTGCCCCTTCATATGAGAAATGAAATGTCCCCTGGGGTGAAGACCCCCCCCTCCGTTTCCCCCTCCTACGCCATGGGTGGCGGGGTGGGAAAAGTTTGCACGATCCTTATCCCTATTTTTATATAATATATCAATATGACTGTTTCTGTAATGTATCGCAATCCTTATGCTATTAAAAAAAAAACGCCATTTACACAGTCAGGATTCCTTATGTTGTAAAAACTTTTCAGGTGGGGGGGGGGTGGCAAACCAATACTTGGTTGGCTTGTTAAGTTGTTTATTACTTGAGGCGCCACAGTACATAGCAATTTATATAAAGCCTGCAAGTGAAAAAAAAAACGCCATTTACGCGGTCAGGATTCCTTATGGTGTAAAAACTTTTCAGGTGGGGGGGGGTGGCAAACCAATACTTGGTTGGCTTGTTAAGTTGTTTATTACTTGAGGCGCCACAGTACATAGCAATTTATATAAAGCCTGCAAGTGTCGGAAGGGGGGGGGGCAAATGCCTCACCCTACCCAAATCCCGTCCCTGATTGAACCGTCATTACCCCAAAGATTTTACCTGGGTCCCCCGAACCCACTGATTTCCCAACCAATGAGTTCCCCGCACCCCGGGTTCCTCGACCCCTGCTCTAGTGCACATGTTAAACCCAACTGTCCCTACAATCCACCACCGTAAATAGCCACATACGCATACAAGCTGCGGCCTGCAGTAGTTGGTCGAACACAGCCCCCAGGTGTCCTCGATGGAAGGCACTGCTGGATTGCACCACCACACTTACTTCGTGACCCGTTAACGCCGTTACCAATGCCCTATGCAATGCCGGCTTGTGGCAACCCCTAATACTGCAATTCAACTTTCATTAAACAGACATCTATAAATCACCATATGACGTGTGCTCGGGTTTTTTTGGTTGTTATTTTTTTTTTTGTATATATTTTTTTTAATTCCTGAAAACTCAAATATCCCTTGTCAGTGCTCTAAATCCTTTCATTGTTAAAGTCCAATCATTTGCGTGGTGGGGTGAACACAATATAGACATGTTTCTATTAATGACATGTTTTGTTTGACATAACCCTGACCTAATCTTTAACCGTTGATTGGTGCGCCGTGGAATGGTGTCGATGAAATAGTTTATTTCCAACGCCTATTTGCCTAGTAGTTGCCCACTACCTACGTGGATTCGTAGATTAGCACACCCCCCCCCCACCCTCCAAAGCCCTAACGCTGAACAGCTGAATATAATTTATATATGTCTAGTGTTAAGCAGTGTACATTTTCTTTCCCTGCCTTCAGCACGAGGACGGCACATTACACGCATCGTTGTACACTACAATTACTTTTGTACCAAGTTTTGTGGTCATTATTTTTAGCCAGCGCAGTTTAAAGCCTTCCTGTGCTCAAGGACGAGTAGGCCATTATTTGAACAATACCACGTGACAGCTAAATTTATATTTTTCCTAGCTGTCAACGTCCGAGTTTTAGACTGATGTGTTTTGAATACTTCGGAGACACACATCCCCCACGCAACACAGAATAATTTCGAAAGAAATTCAGCGAGCCATTGTTGGGGGTCAAAGTTCAATTATCATTTTTTTTTTTTAATCTACCACGCGGGCATCAGACGACGGACATACTGCGAACTTCATTGATCTTCTCTGCGTTAAAGGTAAGCTGGTGTCAGTTCTTTGTTGTCAAACGACAGCTGTGTGTTTTTTGTTGAAGTTTTTTTTCTTTTCTTTTGTTGGTTTAGTATCTCTTAACGTTTAGATTACCTACAATAAAAACTAACCTAAAAACTAACTTTAAAAAAAAATACTTTACAACAAAAAAAAATAATAAAGCATTAAAAATCAATATATTACAGTTAATCTAGCATTAATATCAGCAAATTATATTGCCTAAATGATGTTTTCGCTTTGTTAATATGTCATTCATGGGAGTCACTGATCGTTATCCATTTTCCTGTAAAATCATTGCTGCTTACTATTAGAACCTTAGTAAAATGAAATTCCCGTCCCGTTACTCCACCCCCTGTCAAGGGGCTCCCCCAACCTCTGTCCACATACTACCCTAACCTTGTCCACATACTACCCTACTCCTTGTCAACATACTACCCTACCCTTTGTCCACATACTACCCTACCCCTTGTCAAAATACTACCCTACCCCTTGTCCACATACTACCCTACCACTTGTCCACATACTACCCTAACCTTGTCAACATACTACCCTATCCCTAGTCCACATACTACCCTACCCCTTGTCCACATACTACCCTACTCCTTGTCCACATAATAACCGACACCTTGTCCACATGCTACCCTACTCCGTGTCCAATACTACCCTAATCCTTGTCCACATACTACCCTAACCTTGTCAACATACTACCCTACCCCTTGTCCACATACTATCCTACCCCTTGTCCACATACTACCCTAACCTTGTCAACACACTACCCTTCCCTTTGTCCACATACTACCCTAAACTTGTCAACATACTACCCTACTCCTTGTCCACATACTACCCTACCCATTTTCCACATACCACCCTAACCTTGTCCACATACAACCCTAACCCTGTCCACATACTACCCTACCCCTTGTCAACATACCACCCTAACCTTGTCAACATACTACCCTAACCTTGTCCACATACTACCCGACATCTTGCCAACATACTACCCTACCCCTTGTATACATACTACCCTACCCCTTGTCCACATACTAACCTAACCTTGTCAACATACTACCCTACTTCTTGTCCACATACTACCCTAACCTTGTCTACATACTGCCCTATCCCTTGTCCACGTACTACCCTACCCCTTGTCCACTTACTACCCTACGCCTTGTCCACATACTACCCGACACCTTGTCAACATACTACCCTACTCCTTGTCCACATACTACCCTACCCTTTGTCTACATACTACACTACTCCTTGTCCACATACCACCCACTACTTGCAAACATACTATTCTACTCCTTGTCCACATAGTACCCTACCCCTTGTCCACATACTACCCTAACCTTGTCAACATACTACCATACTTCTTGTCCACATACTACCCTAACCTTGTCAACATACTACCCTAAACTTGTCAACATACTACCATAACCTTGTCGACATACTACCCTACCCCTTGTCCACATACTAGCCTACCCTTGTCAACATACTACCCTATCCTTTGTCCACATACTACCATAAACTTTTCAACAGACTACACTACTCCTTATCCACATTACTACCCTATCCCTTGTCCACATACCACCCTAAGCTTGTCCACATAATACCCTAACCTTGTCCACATACTACCCTACCCCTTGCCAACATACTACCCTAACCTTGCCAACATACTACCCTAACCTTGTCCACATACTACCCTAAACCTTGTCAACATTCTACCCTAACTTTGTCAACAACTTATACCCTACCCCTTGTCCACATACTACCCAAACCTTGTCCACATGCTTCCCTACCCATTGTCCACATACTACCCTAACCTTGTCAACATACTACCCTACCCTTTTTCCACATATTACCCTACCCCTCGTCATCATACAATCCTACGACTCGTCAACATACCACCCTAACCTTGTCCACATACTACCCTACCCCTTGTCAACATACTACCCTAACCTTGTCAACATACTACCCTAACCTTGTCAACATACTACCCTACCACTTGTCCACATACTACCATAACCTTGTCAACATACTACCCTACTACTTGTTCACATACTACCATACCCATTGTTCACATACTACCCCAACCTTGTCAACATACTACCCTACCATTTGTCCAAATACTACCCTAAACTTGTCAACATACTACCCTTCTCCTTGTTCACATACTACCCTACCCCTTTTCCACATACAACCCTAACCTTGTCCACATTATACCCTAACCTTGTCCATATGATACCCTACCCCTTGTCAACATACTACCCTAACCTTGTCAACGTACTACCCTAACCCTGTCCACATACTACATTAAACCTTGTCCACATATTACCCAAAACTTGCCAACATACTACCATAACCTTGTCCACATACTACCCTACCCCTTGTCCAGATACTACCCTACCCCTTGTCCACATACTACCATACCCCTTGTCCACATACTACCCTACCCCTTGTCCACATACTACCCTACCCCTTGTCAACATACTACCCTATTCGTTATCCACATACTACCCGACACCTTGCCCACATGCTACCCTTCTCCTTGTCCAATACTACCCTACTCCTTGTTCACATAATACCCTATTCCTTGTCACCATTCTACCATACCCCTTGTTCATATACTACCCTAACCTTGTCGACATACTACCCTACATCTTGTCCACATACTACACTATTCCTTGTTCACATACTACCCTAACCCTTCTCCACATACTACACTTACCTTGTCCACATACTACCCTAACCTTGTCAACATACTGCCCTACTCCATGTCCACATACTACCGCAACCTTGTAAACATACTCCCCTACCCCTTGACCACATACTACCCTAACCTTGTCAACATACTACCCTACCCTTTGTCCACCAACTACCCTAAACTTGTCAAAATACTACCCTACTCCTTGTCCACATACTACCCTACCCCTTGTCCACATACCACCCTAACCTTGTCCTCATACTACCCTAATCCTTGTCCACATACTACCTGACACCTTGTCCACATATCACCCTACCCCTTGTCCACATACTACCCGACACCTTGTCCACATACTACCATATTCCTTGTTCACATACTACCCTAACCTTTGTTCACATACAACCCTTACCTTGTCCACATAACAACCCTAATCTTGTCAACATACTACCCTACCCATTGTCCACATACTACTTACCCCTTGTCCACATACCACCCTAACATTGTCCTCATACTACCCTACCCCTTGTCCACATACTACCCTACTCCTTGTACACATACTACCCTACCCCTTGTCCACGTACTTCCCTACCCCTTGACCACACAGTACCCTACTCCTTGTCAACATAATACCCGACACCTTGTCAACATACTACCCTACTCCTTGTCCAAAACAACCCTATTCCTTGTCCACATACTACCCTAAACTTGTCCTCATACTACCCTACCCCTTGTCCACATACTACCCTACTCCTTGTTCACATACTACCCTACCCTTTGTCACGTACTTCCCTACCCCTTGACCACACACTACCCTACTCCTTGTCAACATAATACCCGACACCTTGTCAACATACTACCCTACTCCTTGTCCAAAACAACCCTATTCCTTGTCCACATACTACCCAACCCCTTGTCCACATACTACCCTACACCTTGTCCACATAATACCCTATTCCTTGTTCACATACTACCCTAACCTTTGTCCACATACAACCCTTACCTTGTCCACATACAACCCTAACCTTGTCAACATACTATCCTACTCCTTGTCCACATACTACTATAACCTTGTCAAAATACTACCTTACTCCTTGTCCACATACTACCCGAACCTTGTCAACACACAACCCTACCCTTGTCCACATACTACCCTAACCTTGTCAACATACTACCCTACTCCTTGTCCACATCCTACCCTAACCTTGTCAACATACTACCCTACTTCTTGTCCAGATACTACCCTAACCTTGTCAACATACTACCCCATCCCTTGTACGCATACTACCCTACCCTTTGTCCACATACTACCCTACTCCTTGTCCACATACTACCCGACACCTTGTCCACATACTACCCTACTCCTTTTCCAATACTACCCTACTCCTTGTCCACATACTACCCCAACCTTGTCATCATATTACCCTAACATTGTTCACATACTACCCTAAACCTTGTTCACTTAATACAATAACCTTGTCAACATACTACCCTACCCCTTGTCCATATACTACCCTATCCCTTGTCCACGTACTACCCTAACCTTGTCAACATACTACCCTACTCCTTGTCCACATACTACTCTACCCCATGTCCACATACTACCCTACCCCTTGTCTACATACTAGCCTTATCTTGTCCACATACTACCAACTCCTTGTCAACATACTACCCTACCCCTTGTCCACATACTACCGACTCCTTGTCCACATACTACCCTAACCTTGTCAACATACTACCATAGTTCTTGTCCACATATTACCCTACCCCTTGTCCACATACTACCCGACCCCTAGTCCACATACTACACTAACCTTGTCAACACACTACCCTACTCCTCGTCCACATACTAACCTACCACTTGTCCACATACTAACCTAACCTTGTCAACATACTACCCTACTCCTTGTCCACATACTAACCTATCACTTGTCCACATACTACCCTAACCTTGTCAACATACTACCCTAACCTTGTCAACACACTACACTAACCCATGTCCACATAATACCCTAACCTTGTCAACATACTACTTTAACCCTGTCCACATACTACCCTAAACTTGTCAACATACTACCCTAACCTTGTCCACATACTCCCCTAACCTTGTCCACATACTACCCTAACCTTATCAACATGCTACCCTAACCCTGTTAACATACTACCCTAACCTTTTCCACATACTACCCTAACCTTGTCCTCATACTACACTATCCCTTGTCCACATACTACCCTAAAATTGTCAACATACTACCCGAACCTGGTCCACATACTATCCTACACTTTGTGCACATTATACCCTAACCTTTTCAACATACTACCCTACTCCTTGTGCACATACTATCCTACCACTTGTCCACATACTACCCTACCACTTGTCCACATACTACCCTACCACTTGTCCACATACTACCCTACCCCTTGTCCACATACTACCTTACCACTTGTCCACATACTACCCTACCCCTTGTCAACATACTACCCTAACCTGGTCCACATGCTACCCTAACCTTGTCAACATACTACCCAACCTTGTCCACATACTACCGTACTACTTGTCCACATACTACCCTACCACTTGTCCACATACTACCCTACCATTTGTCCACATACTACCCGACCCCTTGTCGACCTACAACCCTATCACTTATCCACATACTACCCTATTTTTGTCAACATACATTCTTACCTCTTGTCCACATACTACCTTAACCTTGTCCACATACTACTCAACTTCTTGTCCACATATTAGCCTAACCCTTGTCCACATTTTACCCTACCCTTCCTCCACATACTACCTACCCCTTGTCCACATACTACCCTACCCCTTGTCCACATACTACCCTACCACTTGTCCACATACTACCCTACCCTTTGTCCACATACTACCCTAACCATGTCCACATTCTACTCTATCTCCTGACTACATTGTACTCTACCCTGTCCACATACTACCCTACCCCTTTTCCACATACTACACTACCCCCTGTCCACATAGCATCCTAACCTTGTCCCCATACTACCCTTACCATGTCCACATACTACGCTCCCTTGCCCACATTCTACTTTACCCTGTCCACATGCTTCTCCATTCCACATCCGCATGCTGCCCCGCACTCATTTCTACAAGTACCCACTCCCCATTCCCCACTCCCCAACACGATCAGCACGATACTACTCATTTATCCTACCGATTCCTCCAACCCTTCCCCTTTTACTCCATCTCATGTCCAGTTGATCTCCCACCCAATCATGTCCAGTTGATCTCCTAGCCGCTCATGTCCAGTTGATCTCCCACCCGCTCATGTCCAGTTGATCTCCCACCCGCTGATGTCCAATGATCTCCCACCCGCTCATGTCCAGTTGACCCCCCACCCTCAATTGTTCGAGCGCATCGGGTTTCGTCGAGTCTTTCCTCCCATCATTATTTGGGCCTGCAACCAAAGCCGTCGTGTGGGCCTGCAACCAAAGCCATCGTGTGGGCCTGCAACGAAAGCCTTCGTGTGGGCCTGCAACCAAAGCCATCGTGTGGGCCTGAAACCAAAGTCGTCGTGTGGGCCTGCAACCAAAGCCGTCATGGGGGCCTGCAACCAAAGTCGTCGTGTGGGCCTGCAACCCACGCCATCGTGTGGGCCTGCAACCCAAGCCGTCGTGTGGGCCTGCAACCAACGCCGTCGTGGGGGCCTGCAACCAAAGTCGTCGTGTGGGCCTGCAACCAAAGTCGTCGTGTGGGCCTGCAACCAAAGTCGTCGTGTGGGCCTGCAACCAAAGTCATCATGTGGACCTGCAACCAAAGTCGTCGTGTGGGCCTGCAATCAAAGCCGTCGTGTGGACCTGTAACCAAAGTCGTCGTGTGGGACATAGTCGTCGTGTGGGCCTGCAATCAAAGTCGTCGTGTGGACCTGTAACCAAAGTCGTCGTGTGGGCCTGCAACCAAAGTCGTCGTGTGGGCCTGCAATCAAAGCCGTCGTGTGGACCTGTAACCAAAGTCGTCGTGTGGGCCTGCAACCAAAGTCGTCGTGTGGGCCTGCAACCAAAGCCGTCGTGTGGGCCTGCAACCAAAGCCGTCGTGTGGGCCTGCAACCAAAGTCGTCGTGTGGGCCTGCAACCAAAGTCGTCGTGTGGGCCTGCAACCAAAGTCGTCGTGTGGGCCTGCAACCAAAGCCGTCGTGTGGGCCTGCAACCAAAGCCATCGTGTGAGCCTGCAACAAAAGGTGCCGTGTGGGCCTGCAACTAAAGCGGCCGTGTGGGCCTGCAACAAAAGTTGTCGTGTGGGCCTGCAACCAGAGACGCCATGTTGGCCTGCAACCAGAGACGCCATGTGGGCCTGCAACCAGAGACGCCATGTGGGCCTGCAATCCCTGGTTGTGATGTGTAAACGACTAAGCTACTAACTTTGAGTACAGCTTATGAAGTAGGCACAAAACGGATAGTACAAGGTGGCCTTCAAAAGTCACACCACGCCTCTGGGTGCTACGATGTCTGTTGTGAAATATTTGGACACAAAACATCAATATGTGATAGCATGTCAATCTCATTCTAAGTCTTCTGCTCGCTTAAGTCTCGTCACGCCTCCGACAGTGACAAAAAAAATACGTCTGATATATAAGGAAGTGGATAAATATAAGTGAGGACCTCTGTAACAGGTCAGACATGTATGTGAAATCGCATGCTTGTGTTATGGCTTTTCCTCTGAAATGTAACGTAGCTTTCGCGTGGTCTCTTTATGTGTGTTAGTAGCAATGGCTTGTCTTGTCGTGATGTAATGAGGCTATAGACACATCTTAAGAAATCGAATGCAAATGTAGCGTGCCTTTCACCCTTAAACAAATATCCCCTCTCATAACTTCTTTTTTCCATTTTAATATGAATGGCGTATCGGGTCCCACTCTCCCACACATCATTGTTGGGTTTGACTTTGGCCGGTGCCACCTCTGACATTTCCCCAGTGTAGCACGTAGGCGACCAAGTGACTTACAAAGTCCTCGCTCAAGTAATTCCCAAAAATCAATTTGGGAATATCATCAGTAATTGTCGTCAGGCGACACACTGCATTATGTCATTGCGTGGGCGTACGAATCTCAATCTGGTCGCTGTATACCTGAGGTCTATGTTAATAGTTTAGTTCTATAGTCAATATAATTTATTTTTTACACAATTGTATCTGTTATGAAATAAACAAAAAAGTATGAGAATGGCTAACGTTAGACTTTGTTTGTTTTAAAAATAAATATCGATATTTAAGTCCAGATTTGCAAAGAGTTTTTTTTTTTTATTAACCGATTGTATTCATTAACTACAAATGAGTTCGTTTTAGTGTTTATTTCGAATAAGAGCAAATCTTGGACCTACCTTGCTTACTCAGAGCTAAAACTGTGGTTGCATGGCCTACAACTGACGATTGCTATCTAGTGAACACGTAAAAATTTAGCCTACAGTAGTTTTTATTTCAAAAGGAGAGAATAAACAGCTCTATTTTCTAACATTCGGAAATATAATTGTGTGTAGCTTTAAAGCATATAATAAAGAACACACAGACTACGGAAAAAAGGGGGAGGGGCGCAACTCAAAAGCCATTAAGTGATGCATCTGAAATTTCAGAGTTCAGAGTTCGGAGTTCAGAGTTCGGGTCTGTTAAATTTGACAACTGTTTCCCTACGATGATCAAACAGGGAAGAGAATTAAGTGAGCAAAGTAAAGCCATGAACCGGACTTCTTCTTCAATAATTTAAAGTTTTAAAGTATAAAGTTATTTGTATACATTAAAATGTTATGGTTGGGGGGTGGGTGGGTGGGGTTGTAACGTAACCCTCTGCATCCCGTAGAAGGCGGGCTACTTGACCTATGCATCTGTCCCGAGCCACCGTAGAAGGCGGGTTACTTGACCTATGCATCTGTTCCGAGCCACCGTAGAAGGCGGGCTACTTGACCTATGCATCTGTCCCGAGCCACCGTAGAAGATAATCCCTTTATTACGTCAGTGGGGGAAATGAATAAGATTCGAAAATAACTGGCTCGTTAAACGTTATGTGACGCTAAAGTGACCTAGATGGCTACAGTAAAACCTTATGTGACGCTAAAGTGTCCTAGATGGCTACAGTAAAACGTTATGTGACGCTAAAGTGACCTCTTTGGCTACAGTAAAACATTATGTGACGCTAAAGTGACCTCTTTGGCTACAGTAAAACATTATGTGACGCTAAAGTGACCTAGATGGCTATGGTAAAACGTTATGTGACGCTAACTTGACCTACTTGGATGTAGTAAAACCTTATAAGACCTATAAAGTGACCTAGTATGCTATAGTTAAACTTAATATGGCGCCAAAGAGACCTACTATGCTATATAATAGACTTGCTCACATTGCTCAAAACCCAACATCTCAAGTGTCAACAGCGATCGATATCCAGCAGACATGTGACTTTATGTCCCACGGGTATCCATAACCTGATCACATGCATCATGTGAACTTAAAGGAATGTTATGATTTGTTGGAACGTTAATAAAGACGACGAAGTTATTTACTGTACGAAGTCAGCATTCATCTTCACAAACTCCCAATAGTCATAGGTAAGAAACCGTCGGAGCTCCTGGAGAGCACGTTGTAAGCCGCCACCACCGCCCCCACCCCTCTTCTAACACCATGCTATGAGTAATCCAGAGATCTTAAGGCTACCATCTGTAGATGTCCATCAAATCTTAGAATAGGACAAACTGAGGCACTCGAAATTCTGTTCTGTATTAATTTACTTCTGCCCCAAAAATCTGTCTCTTACCTTAATTGTCCGACAAAGGCAAACCACGTCTGGCGTTTCTGGTTAGAGGCTAGGGCGAGGGGCGGAAAACATTTTTTGTGTGAAGAGTCATTTTTTAAAAAATCCTTTATATTTATAACAACTTCGCTTTTGTGTGTTCATGACTAAAATCTTCGGACGACTCATTGACCTACTTCCTGTCAACCTATCATGCTGCAGCTTTGCACTTAGACTCGTTGCCGATGACAACACATTGCTATAACATTTTCAGGCCCAAACCTCCCCCCCCCCCCCCCCCCCCCAACGCTCAAAAATAAGTTTTTCCTGTTTTTCAAAGGGAAGTTGAAGGATAAAGGATGCCACTGATTTCATGAAATAAAAATTCACCCAACCCCCCCCCCCCCCCCCCCCCCCCAACGCTCAAAAATAAGTTTTTCCTGTTTTTCAAAGGGAAGTTGAAGGATAAAGGATGCCACTGATTTCATGAAATAAAAATTCCCCATAACGTCGCTCAATAGGGTTTGTCATTTCTCAGACAGGAAAACGTCACAGCGTTACTATTCCTAGAACTTCGGACAAATCCTTCCCACCAAGAGCAGGGGCGCATGCAACCTTGACCCATACCATGGCAATGTTGTGTCATCAAAGGAAGGGGGCCCAAAAGAAGCTCGAAGCCTAGGGCCTGGACATGAGCCATGGGTTACTAATGCCACTGATTATAGACTAATACATAATTTAGCCTCATTTCAAATTAGCCGCATGCGGCTCAGGAGTCGCGGCTTGCCGACCACTGGGCTTGAGGATTGGAAAAGGGGGGGGGGCACTTCGACACTTGCTTCTTTTTTTTTCCGGAGCTAACAGTCATCCTTTTATTGCATGGTGTTACTCCTGTATTTTTTTGTGCCGACACTGTCATTTTCCTAGATCCGCCACTGCCTGATTCTACTATTGTCTCCTACCAGCTGGGCACGGATTTATTGCATACAAACTGAAAAGAAAAAGCGACTACCCCTGGTTTAAGTGCGAAATAACCTTCCATTTTGAAATCACCGTCTAAGCGTAAAGGGTGAGCTCCCCCGTGCAGCGCAATGCGGTCAATCTATAGCGTGGGTGCGTTGTTGGGTCGTTCTTCCTCGTTAGACATTTCCAGCCAAGAATAACCATAATTTAAAGGGAGTGAGTGCCAGCAACTGTTGTCAATCTGTTCATTGGTTACGAAAAAACAGTTCATTGGTCACATGAAACTGTTCATTGGTCACATGAAACTGTTCATTGGTCACATGAAACTGTTCATTGGTCACATGAAACTGTTCATTGGTCACATGAAAATGTGCATTGGTCACATGAAACTGTTCATTGGTCACATGAAACTGTTCATTGGTCACATGAAACTGTTCATTGGTCACATGAAACTGTTCATTGGTCACATGAAACTGTTCATTGGTCACATGAAACTGTTCATTCCTCCTCCTCCCCATCCTCATGCCCCTTATTCCTTGGACCGTTGGGGCGCCACAGATGACATGTGAACCATCCTCCTCCATTCCTCTCTGTCTTCAGCACTACGCAGTGCATCGCCCAGTGTTAGTCCTATCCACTCTTTGATGTTATCCTCCCACCTTTTTCTTTGTCTTCCTCTTCTTCTCCCTCCTCTTGTGGTGCCCTGTAATATTTTTTTGGCAAGCCCTTTTTTCCTTGTTACGTGGCCGTACCATTGTAATTTGCGTTTTTTCACAGTCACCAGTAGGTCATCGTACTCCCCTATTGCCTGACGAACCCTTTCTTTCACTGTATCATTGGAGATATGGTCCCTATAGCAGATGCCAAAAATGCTTCTGAAGCATCTCATCTCCATCGCCTTTATTTTCCTTTCAAGATCAGCTGTTAATGTCCAGGATTCGCAAGCATACAGGAAAATGGAGAGTACTAATGAGCGCATCAGCCTGATTTTGGTGCTGGGGGCTATATTTTTATCATTCCATATTTTCTTGAGCTTTTTTAGTGCTGTTATAGTCTGCGCAATCCTGGACATCAGTTCGGGCTTGGAGCCTTCTTCTGAGACTATTGCTCCTAGGTATTTGAAGCGGCTGACAGTCTCTAATCTTTCCTCCCAGACCTTAATTTCAGTGTTGATGCCTGCGGTATTATTTGTCATCAGTTTTGTCTTTTCGGCACTGATTAGCATGCCGTAGGACGACGAGGTCTTATCGAGATCCTTTACCAGGTTGTCTAGCTCTTCTTCGTTCCCAGCCAGCACGTCTATGTCGTCCGCAAAGCGTAGGTTGGTGATTGTTCTGCCACCAATGCTGACTGTCCCTTCATGTGCTTCCAGAGCATCTGACATAATTCTCTCTAGGAAGATGTTGAATAAGGTTGGGGAGAGCAAGCAGCCTTGTCGTACTCCAACCGTGGTCTTGAACCATTCTCCGATGTTGTTGTTGAGGAAGACTGCACTGGTGGCCTTATCATAGAGGTTGCATATCATGCTGGTTAGGTTTGTGTTGATGTTGTAGTGCCTCATGGTGGCCCATAAAGCAGCATGCCAAACCCTGTCAAATGCTTTCTTGAAGTCAACAAAGACGTGGTATAGATTTTGTTGGTGTTAAGCATATTTCTCACAGTATTCGGAGGTTTAGAATCTACTCAGTAGTGCCCCGTCATTGTCTGAAGCCCGCCTGCTCTTCAGCAATGATTCTGTCAGCATATGGTTTTAATCGGTTCAATATGATCTTCAGGTGACCTTGCCTGGATGGCTTATTAGGCTAATTGTGCGATAGTTTTGGCATAGCTCTAGGTTACGTTTTCTTGGGAGGGTGACGATGAGCGATTGGGTACATGCTTTGCGCCATTCTCCTGTAAGCCAGATTTTGTTACAAATATTGAATAGTGCACTTATCATTGCTTCTCCTCCTTGTTTCATCAACTGGGCAGGGATATTATCCACTCCGACGGCCTTTCCTGTTTGGAGTGCCTGGACTCACTGTTCATTGGTCACATGAAAATGTGCATTGGCCACATGAAACTGTTCATTGGTGACATGAAAATGGTCATTGGCCACATGAAACTGTTCATTGTTCACATGAAAATGTGCATTGGCCACATGAAACTGTTCATTGTTCACATGAAAATGTGCATTGGCCACATGAAACTGTTCATTGGTCACATGAAAATGTGCATTGGCCACATGAAACTGTTCATTGTTCAACTGAAAATGTGCATTGGCCACATGAAACTGTTCATTGTTCACATAAAACTGTTCATTGGTCACATGAAAATGTGAATTGGTCACATGAAACTGTTCATTGGTCAAATGAAACTGTTCATAGGTCACATGAAAATGTTCATTGGTCACATGAAACTGTTCATTGGTCACATGACACTTCATTGGTTACAGTGAACTGTTCATTGGTCACATGAAACTGTTCATTGGTCACATGAAACTGTTCATTGGTCACATGAAACTGTTCATTGGTCACATGAAACTGCTCATTGGTCACATGAAAGTGTTCATTGGTCACATGAAACTGTTCATAGGCCAATGAAACTGTTCATTTGTCACATGAAGCTGTTTATTGAAATAACTAGGCTTACAGATGTGTGTGTGTGTTGTTCGTCCGTCGAAGTCGACAAGGACCATCGAATCATCCGGTTAGGGGCGGGCGGGGGGGTTGGGATTACGGTGAGCTCTTAGGTGGCTTGTTAGACCAATCCTTGCACGGAATAATCTATGACACCGTGGGCATGGAATAGTTGCTTCAGACGATAAATGCGATGATAGTAATATACATTTTGGAGATAGATTCAGAAAGACGTTGCAACGTTGCTTTAGTTTCGTTCTTCCTCTTATTTTATTCCTTCTTTATGCACGTTTGACGAGGTATCTGCGATCTTGACATCTTTCACATTAAATCGCATATTAGCATTACCCACGAGCCTACCTATATATAGACTACATTAATCCAAATGGAACAAACTAGGCCTGCATACAAACTAATCAAAAGATAAGCACATGTTGACCACTGAAAGTGCATGCCACCATCTTGGATTTTAAATCTATTGATAATTATTTTTGTCTGAATTGTCGTACCAATATTTTTATTTGTCTGATCCAATGACAGAAATGACGTCACAGAAAGTGGTTATCGTTGGAGCAGGAGCAGCCGGGGTCACCTGCGCGGCTTGGCTGATCAAACACGGGGTCAAGGACGTAACGGTACTAGAGGCCCAGGATTATATAGGTGGCAGGATCAAGGCAGAAATAGTTGGTTAGAGAGTTTAATAATGTAACTACTTTAATAGTTGGTTAGAGAGTTCAGTTATATGACTTTAATAGTTGGTTACAGAGTGAAATAATAGAAATACTTTAATAGTTGTTAAGAGAGTTTAATCATAGAACTTCTATAATACTTGGTTACAGAGGTCAATAATAATATTGCTACTTTAATAGTTAGTTCGAGAGTTAAATAATAAGGCTCCTTTCATCTTTCGAAAAGACCATTCATTTCCAAATATTTTTTTTTCTAACATTCGTGATTTCTTTCTACTTAATTTCCTTTTGATCTGTGTCTCCTAGGTCTGATGTGCAGGCCTAATCTAGTTTCATTTAATTCTTAAAATTGTATTTTTATATAAAAATAACCTTAGGTCTACCATGCAGACTTCAAAACAAAAATTATTTTGACAACTGGACACCCAAGATTTGCATTTCTTTTAAAAACGTGTTGACTTAGAAGGATAAAAACTCCCATTCAAAATATTTCTTTTTTATTTTTTTTGTTTTTTTTTTTTGTGTTTTTTTTTTTTTTTTTTTTGGGGGGGGGGGGGATTCTGAGACTGTATGCTATTATTTATTTTCCGAGTGATTGTAATTTATGCTAATTTATGCTAATTTATGTATCCCCTCAACAATGTTTAGATTAAGGCAGGAGTGTCAGTCAAAAAATTATACTGAGAAGTGTTCATGTCATTAATGGCGTTTATAATCTTGAATTAAAATAGATCTCTTTTTCCAGATGGCCAAAACCTTGACCTTGGGGCACAGTTTGTGCATGGCAGGGAGGGCAACCCAGTGTATGAGATAGCCTGTAAAATTGGACTGGCCATTTATCCTGATCCCGCCACTGATAACCATGATGATGACGACACCCACCTGATCCAAGTGCCAGAGGAATTCTTTACCTCAAGCGGCCAGAAGGTATACCTGAAAGACGACTTCTTTTTGCTTGATATAAATAGTAGGAAAAATCTCATTTCAAAATCATGCAAAGTCAATCCTGCAAAAATCAATACTATCATTTCATCATGAAATGCCATATTTTTAAGCAAATTTATCAATTACTAGTTGATCTATGCCTAAGATGGGGGTATTGTGGAGGGTTACCGGCCATCTGACCAGGGTATTTCCCTGGGATGACTGGTTCGGACCTGGATGCAACAGGGGTGGGGGTAGCGACCGACTGATCAAAGGGCGGGCGCGTCAGATTTCAGACCTGGGAAGAAACTCTATGGTTTGGGACTTATAAATAAGGACCTCTGGACGGGACTGGACGGGACTGGACAGAACTCAGCGGGACAGAGAAGCGAACAGTCAGGGAGTGCTCCGACGGTAGGAGTAGAGGGCAGTCAGAGTTGCGAGAAGAGAGAAAGTATAAGCGAAGTATCAGCCGCATAAAAGAACAAGATTATAATCATCAAATGTTATCGCCTGAGTTGCTTCCTTAGTGAATACCAGATATAGATGAAGGTTAGCAGAGAGCAAACAAGATTTCCTTACAAGTTGATGCACAGATTAATTTACAACTCTGAATGAATAATGCAGTTGAACATAGCCCGTATTTCTCAATATTTTTTTTTATGATGTGAATTTTGAGATAAACGATTAGATAATTTAACAAATCCCTATATGATGAATAGATCAGGATTAAACCCCTTGGTAGAAAAGGATTATACCCCTTGATAAATCAGGATTAAACCCCTTGGTAAATCAGGATTAAACCCCTTGATAGATCCGGATTAAACCCCTTGGTAGATCAGGATTAAACACCTTGGTAATCAGGATTAAACCCCTTGGTAGATCAGGGTTAAACCCCTTGGTAGATCAGGATTAAAACCCCTTGGTAGATCAGGATTAAACCCCTTGGTAGATCAGGATTAAACCCCTTGGGTAGATCAGGATGAAACCCCTTGGTAGATCAGGATTAAACCCCTTGGTAGATCAAGATTAAACCCCTTGGTAGATCAGGATTAAACCCCTTGCCGTTAAAGGTGAGGAGCTTGATGAGGAGACCTAAAATTTTTAGTGCCATGGATTTGTTGGTACAGGTGCCATCACGTATATTATAACACTTGAGTCACATCTTTGAACTTATTCGGTACATTGCCTTGCTTAAACCCCCACATCATGTATCTCTTTCATCTATCCGAGCTTGGCCACCCCATTCATAGGCATACGAGTACTTAAGATTGTTACAAAAAATTTGACATCGACCTAACATCTTTGTTTTCTACATTTGATAAGTGCCAACATAAAAATTTTGACTTGTCTCAAATGAAGCTGTCTCACAAGGAGACGAACCAGCTGGTGGAGTTCCTCACCAAACAGCTGTTCAAGGAGGCCACAGATGACACCGTGGAAATAGATGACGAAGGGAGGAGTGAAGGGGAGTGCTATGAGGAGGCGTACAGGAAATTCTTAGAAGACAATGGGCAGAAACTCAGCCCCAGACAGAGGGAAACCTGTGATGCCATTTTTAGGTAATCTGACAGTCTGAAAGGTTGCGGTGACATTTGTTGAAAGTTTGTTGTTTTTTTTATTTTTTATTCCATTTACTGTCCATGAAGTGGTTCTGTGGAGATCTTATCTTTATATCAACAATTTTTGTGGTTAAAGTAAGTTGAACTTTTAAAGTACATCATTTGACACTTGGGCAGAATTTTTAAGGCTATTATCCTTATTGATTTTTTTTAAAGAAGGATTTTAAAAAAAAAATTGTAACTGCTCCTGTTTTATTGTTTTAAGATTAAGCATTCTTAACCTGGCTTTGCTTTTTGATTTCCTCGTATTAATAAATAAAGATAGGAAATAATCTTTTTTTATTTGAGTACTCTTATAAAGAAATTATATCCGTTCCGAAATGTCCAGGTGGTACAGCGCCTATCAATCCATCGATACAGCAGCGGCAGATCTAAGGGAATTGTCTGTTTGGGCCTTGAGTCTGTACCGAGTGCTGAGGGGGCCAAGGTTCACCTACATTCATGGAGGCCTAACAGCCATTTTGAATGCTGTTGTTGACCTTCTTCCCAGGGACGTTATACGACTGAACACTCCTGTGGCTAACGTAGACTGGGTGAGTCTTATATAGACTGGGTGAGTCTTACATAGAATGGGTGAGTCTTACATAGACTGGGTGAGTCTTACATAGACTGGGTGAGTCTTACGTAGACTGGGTGAGTCTTACATAGTCTTGATGAGTCTTACATAGACTAGTTGAGTCTTACGTAGACTGAGTGAGTCTTACATAGATCTGACAAAGATGGGCTCAGTTTTACTTAGATCTGACAGATTTTGAGACTATTGCATACCGGTACATCTAACACAGACAGGTGAGTCTTACATACATCTAACATGAACTGGGTGACTCTCACGTACATCTAACATAGACTGGGCTAGTCCTACATACATCTGTAATAGACTTAGTGACTCGACATGTAGGACTAGGACTTTCCAGTGATTTGACTTGAGCTGCAACCGGGTAAGTAAATGTAAGGATGCTATAAGAAAATGGACGCAATAGAAAATGCTTGACCATACTTGTTACAATGGGCTTTAAATACTTGACAATACTTTTTAAATTTGATTTTCCAGTTTCAAATATACAGAGACAAGTAATTAAAATAGGTTGATCAATGAGAAACATTTAGTAGGCTGAAACTTAAGCCAATCACATACCATAAACAGCTAACCTATACTGGCCGACAATGATAATGTTGCACTATGTGGTGCTAATGGGTACAACTAAAGACATATCAATTTAATTGTGTGCGATGGTGGAGGTGGGAGGGTGGATGGTGGAGGTGCGGTGGTGGAGGTGGGAGGGTGGATGGTGGAGGTGCGGTGGTGGAGGTGGGAGGGTGGATGGTGGAGGTGGGAGGTTGGATGGTGGAGGTGGGATGGTGGAGGTGCGAGCGTGGAGGTGGGAGGGTGGAAGTGGGAAGCTGGAGGTGGGAGGGTGGAAGTGAGAAGCTGGAGGTGGGAGGGTGGAAGTGGGAAGCTGGAGGTGGGAGGGTGGAGATGGAAGGGTGGAGGTGGAAGGGTGGAGGTGCGAGGGTGGGTATCCAGTAATATTTTCTCTTAATTTTAAGTCAGTGGTTCTGTTAGATTTCACATGACCCTTCTGTTATCCAACGGACAGTCTCAGGTCCAGGAGGATCCAGTGTCTGGTCAAATAAGTGTGACATGCAAAAATGGGGAAGTCTTTCCGGCTGATTATGTCATCGTGACCTCCAGTTTGGGATATCTACAGGCCACACATCAGGAGATGTTTACCCCAGGTCTGCCTCAAGAGATGCAGGCCGCTCTCAGCAATTTTGGCTTCGGTGGCATTGGGAAGGTAAGTCTAATATTCAAATCTGTTCAAATATTACTATCCTTTTAGGTTTTTTGCTGTGCCCGTTTTCACTATATTCAGTGGCATATCTAGTTTTAGTGCCACACCCCCCTCCAATTCCACAAAAAGAATTCTACAGTTGGCCGAAAATGCCGCCCGACTATATAAAGAAATAAAGTGCTGCCGTGGGCGGACCCCATTCTGCCCACCCCACTTTACCACTTATCAGATTCCTTAACAAATGGAACTGGATAAAATTTAAAGCATCACAAATTTTTTTAATAAATCTCCTCATTTGTGATGTTTCAGGTGGCATTAACAGCAGATTGTTAATTACATGATTCTCTCTACTGACCTCAGAAGTTGAACTATTTTGCTTTACCTAGGGATGACCTCCGCCATAAGTATAGCTGCCTGACTGTGTTGATGAGTGCCTCCCGCCTGGTTAAATGGCTATGGCCATGGTGGACAGTGAGCAGTCCAATCTCATGAGTTCGTGGTCGAGAGGCAGACTCACCAATGGACATTCTTTCTGTATCGCTAACCCAAGACATAAATTTTCAAAAACCGAATCGCTACGCAAATTCTCTTCATGTAAAAACCACCTGAATCTCAAACTAGTGAGATAACGATGCAACGTCACTCTTTATTCATAGTTTAACTAACCACACAATGTCATTCTTATTTTTAATTTAACTTTTTTTAATATTATTTTGTTAAATTAATCTTGATGCATTTATCTAAATTTTTTTTTTACATTTCAAAATTAAAAAAAAAAAAATATTTAAATCACAATTGGCTCAGAAAGTGATAACAGTGGGAGACATTGATCAATTAATTTACTCAGATTTCACAACGTTAAATATAACAGTTGTATCAAAAATTGGCTCAGACAGTGGGTACATTGATCAATTAATTTACTCAGATTTCACAACGTTAAATATAACAGTTGTATCAAAAATTGGCTCAGACAGTGGGTACATTGATCAATTAATTTACTCAGATTTCACAACGTTAAATATAACAGTTGTATCAAAAATTGGCTCAGACAGTGGGAGACATTGATCAATTAATTTACTCAGATTTCACAACGTTAAATATAACAGTTGTACCAAAAATTGGCTCAGACAGTGGGAGACATTGATCAATTAATTTACTCAGATTTCACAACGTTAAATATAACAGTTGTATCAAAAATTCTTTTAAATCAGGTTTCAATCAAATTGTTCAGTGCAAAATGAGGAAAATATGGAATTTCTTTAAGAAATATTCTTTGTAACATAATTCAGATGAATAATATATATCTTAAAACTACTAATTTAAAAATAAAAAATAAATTATTATTAAAATTAAATTTAAAACTTAATAATAATTTAAGCAGTTTATGACATAATAAAAAATTACATTGAAATTTTTGATGTAAACAATTCTGGCCTTGATTTTTTAAACTCTTAACTGATATTTGGTGACTTGATATAAGTAAAATCTTTTTAAAGAAGTTGGACTGCCCATTACTGTTATTTGAGAAAATATTTTATCTTGAGTAAATACCATAATGTATAGCATGATATGAAGATTCATAAGTGAAGTCTTTATTATAGAACTCTTTACTTCCAGTACCTTTTAATGAGATCTTCACCACTAAGATCTTTACCTTTACTTTAAAGATCTTTCTAAAATGGGATGAGCCCTTTATTGGCCTCAACGGCACAACAAAGAATGGTGATGTCAGATCATTTGAACTGCTGTGGCTCGACTCTCATCCCCTCAACATCACCAGCGACAGGTGTCCTGAGAAGACACGAGTAAGTCCAGCCTCATTTTGGTCAAAGGGACATAACAACATGCAATAAAAGGGGAATCACTGTGTTTATAGAGGTAAAATGGAGAATTCTGTTTGTTTAATTGGACATAACAAGAAATAAAAAGAAAGCAAAGTGTTTTTGTATGTGTCATTGTCTAATTAACTTTGTACATTGTGCATTTAAATAGATTATTAAATAATAAATATATATATGGGCTGAAATCGTAATTTGATTTACGCTTACAGACTATTCACTGATCAAAATTTCACACTCGACAACTCTAAAATAGAGCAGATATTACAGCCCTAATACAAAACCTGGGCAGCCACATGACATGGAAATGTTGATGATGTGTTCCCATGGTGTTTTGTGAATAACATCAAATTTAGAAACCCATTTCCCTCTCCACCTAAATTATAGGAGAACATTTCTTTTTTAATCAAAAGATCATGTTTCAGTTTTTGCTCTTCAACCATGGAAATTCAGCTGAAAATCATTTTTTAACATTTGTTGGAAAGCTGAAAATGATAAGACAGATAAGAGAGATAAGACTGATAAGATAGATAGATAGATAGACACATTAAAAAGTAAAATGCAAAAGATAAAGAAGTAATATAAAAGAAATTACGAATGTTATTCAATTGAGATGAAACTAGTTCAACTTAAAACTTTGGGAATTTACTTTCTTTTTCTTTATACTATAGTTCGGAAAGCCTTGGTGGTATGGTATACATTCTGTTGAGACCGTCTACGGAAACCCAAACATCTTGGAGTTTTGGTTAAATCGTGAGCAGGTAGGTTCCTTTCGTCACACATTTTTAAAACCATATTTGTCATAAATAATAGTCACTGAATGTCCTAGATGAAGGCTCTACAGTAAAATTTTATCACTGAATGTCCTAGAGTCCTCGATGAAGGCTCTACAGTAAAATGTTATCACTGAATGTCCTAGAGTCCTCGATGAAGGCTCTATGACAAAATGTTATCACTGAATGTCCTAGAGTCCTCGATGAAGGCTCTACCACAAAATGTTATCACTGAATGTCCTAGAGTCATCGATGAAGGCTCTATGACAAAATGTTATCACTGAATGTCCTAGAGTCCTCGATGAAGGCTCTATGACAAAATGTTATCACTGAATGGCCTAGATGTAGGCTCTAAAACAACTTGTTATTGTAACTGATTGTCCTAAATAGAGGATCTAAAACAAATTATTATTGTCACTGAATGTCCTAGATGAATTCTCTAAAACAAAATGCTATTGTCACTGAATGTCCTAAATGAAGGCTCTAAAACAAAACCTCATTAATTAATGTCATAGTATTAGAATATGAATTTGTAAATCTCATGTGTCACCATATTCCATTTTTTTCCTTATGTGATTTCATGTCTAAACTTTTAGGCAAAGATCATGGAAACATTAGATGAATCAGAGGTCAAGGCCGTCTGTCATGAAATCCTTCAGAATTTCTTCAAGGATATAAAAATACCAGAAATCTCTGCTATATATAGGTCATTAGAGTTATTCGAATCCCTTTGTCTCATAAGACTGTTTTAAAGCTGCTTAGGCAGCTTCTGTTTTCTAGGTTTTTAAAAACAATTTCCTTAATTGTTTTTCCCTTTAAATTTTTATAAATAATATTCTACTTTGTCTGAGCCCCATTAATTTTTCTAAATAATAACATTCTACTTTGTCAAGACCCCCTATGTTGCATTAATTTTTCTAAATAATAATATTCTACTTTGTCTAAACCCCCTTAATTTGTATAAATAATAATATTATACTTTGTCAGGACAATGTGGGTGAGCAATCCTTATACACAAGGTACTTACAGTTTTCTGTCTTCAAGAATCAAAAAGGATGATCTGAATAATCTGGGGAAGCCACTACCCTCATCAAATGTAAGTAAAAATCTGAGGCAGCCACTACCCTCATCAAATGTAAGTAAAAAAGCTGGGGCAGCCACTAGCTTCATCAAATGTAAGTAAAAAATTTGGGGCAGCCACTAGCCTCATCAAATGTAAGTAAAAATCTGGGGCAGCCAATACCCTCATCAAATGTAAGTAAAAATCTGGGGCAGCCACTAGCCTCATCAAATGTAAGTAAAAATCTGGGGCAGCCACTACCCTCATCAAATGTAAGTAAAAATCTGGGGCAGCCACTAGCCTCATCAAATGTAAGTAAAAATCTGGGGCAGCCAATACCCTCATCAAATGTAAGTAAAAATCTGGGGCAGCCACTAGCCTCATCAAATGTAAGTAAAAATCTGGGGCAGCCACTACCCTCATCAAATGTAAGTAAAAATCTGGGGCAGCCACTACCCTCATCAAATGTAAGTAAAAATCTGAGGCAGCCACTAGCCTCATCAAATGTAAGTAAAAATCTGGGGCAGCCACTACCCTCATCAAATGTAAGTACAAATCTGAGGCAGCCACTAGCCTCATCAAATGTAAGTAAAAATCTGAGGCAGCCACTACCCTCATCAAATGTAAGTAAAAATCTGAGGCAGCCACTACCCTCATCAAATGTAAGTACAAATCTGAGGCAGCCACTAGCCTCATCAAATGTAAGTAAAAATCTGGGGCAGCCAATACCCTCATCAAATGTAAGTAAAAATCTGAGGCAGCCACTACCCTCATCAAATGTAAGTACAAATCTGGGGCAGCCACTACCCTCATCAAATGTAAGTAAAAATCTGGGGCAGCCACTAGCCTCATCAAATGTAAGTACAAATCTGAGGCAGCCACTAGCCTCATCAAATGTAAGTAAAAATCTGGGGCAGCCACTAGCCTCATCAAATGTAAGTAAAAATCTGGGGCAGCCACTAGCCTCATCAAATGTAAGTAAAAATCTGGGGCAGCCAATACCCTCATCAAATGTAAGTAAAAATCTGGGGCAGCCACTAGCCTCATCAAATGTAAGTAAAAATCTGGGGCAGCCACTACCCTCATCAAATGTAAGTAAAAATCTGGGGCAGCCACTAGCCTCATCAAATGTAAGTAAAAATCTGGGGCAGCCACTACCCTCATCAAATGTAAGTAAAAATCTGGTGCAGCCACTAGCCTCATCAAATGTAAGTAAAAATCTGGGGCAGCCACTACCCTCATCAAATGTAAGTAAAAATCTGGGGCAGCCACTAGCCTCATCAAATGTAAGTAAAAATCTGGGGCAGCCACTAGCCTCATCAAATGTAATTAAAAATATGGGGCAGCCACTAGCCTTATCAAATGTAAGTACAAATCTGAGGGTATGACAAAGTGTTTTAGAAGGTTTTAGGCTTCTAATAAATCAATTTATTTTTGTTGCTCATGCGGTTTATGTCAGCTTTATACAAGTCCTTATTTCTTTAATTGGTTGGGAAACTTTTAGTATAGAGTAAAAAAAAAAAGAAAAGTAAAAAATTTTATAATCATTATTTTATTGCATATGCTTCAAAAGTAAATAAAAATACAAAATAACAAAAACAGATTATCAAAAAATTTCATTTTTTAATAAATACATGAACTTATGAAAATCAAATTTATGTTTTTAATGACACAGAAATAACTGGATCGATTTGCTATATTTTTTGTTTTCTTTAACATTTCCTTAAATTTTACATTATGATAGGTGCTCCTAGATGTTTACAAAATTATGAATATTGATGTATTTGTTGGTTTTTTTTTTTTTACTTTTTATTACAGAATCCACGGGTTCTGTTTGCTGGTGAGGGTTACGCCAATGAGTTCATATCCACTGTGCATGGCGCAATGCTCAGTGGCCAGAAGCAAGCCAATGTGATACTAAACGACCAGGGTATCAAACCCTCAAGTAAACTTGTTGACCTTATTTAGAATCTTTACACGATCACATGACCAAATGCTGATTGAAGCAGGAAGTGACATGCCATTTTCTCTACATCTATAGTATTTTACTTTGGAGTTTTTCTTTCTGCCCATTTTATCATGAGAACCGTTTAATTGTTATAAAATACAATTTTATGATTATATTTAAATAATGTTGATTATTTATGTTATCATGTTTTATCATAAAATGAGAATCTTTATCAAATTTAAAATCATATTTATGCCAATACCAAGATAATAAAGTAAATAATATATTATATCATGATCATTTGGTGTCAGCAATGCCTGTTTCGTTGACCAATCATTTGAAAACTATGGTTTAAAATGTTAATAAAGCATTTACCATTTTATGTCATTTAAATTTTCATGGAATCCTAATATATATACATATATATATATATATATATATATATATATATATATATATATATATATATATATATATATATCCTCTGAAATCAAAAGCTTATTTTGTCAATTAAGGGACAATCAACTGTGAAACACATTAAATGAATAGAAATTCAAACCAAGGTCCTGTCATGATGAAAATCGCCACTGCTTATTCTTATTACCCGTGAATGCAAAGCTTTACCATAAACTTCTCATATGTCCTGACAATCAAGCCAAAGAAAGGATTTTTTTACCTTGACATGCATACGCGTAATATATTTTTGTGATATTTTATCCAGCCTTTTAAATTTGAATGTTGATCTAGTGCCTTTATCTGTTAAACAAAACTCCGAAAAAGTATTGATTGTTATAAATAACATTCTCTTTTTTTTAAAAAAGATAATTAAGTCAATATATAATTACATTTTGTTGTTTTTGACATATAGTTAAGTTCATGTAAGTCTACATAATCTCATACGAGTTTACTGATTTTATTTATTTCTATATTAAAACAAGATTTAAAAATCTGTTGCTCCTTATTTTTGGTCTTATTTCCTTCTTCAAATGTGTTCCATTTGTATTTTTAGCATTCATTTTTTAACTCTGAGATAGTATAATCAGTATTGGAATATATTCAGTATACGTGTATAATTAATACATGTCTAATCTGTACCGGCACTAGGGGTGTAGCACGGGCTGATACCATGTCTAATCACTACCGGCACTACGGGTGTAGCACGGGCTGATACCATGTCTAATCAGTACCGGCACTACGGGTGTAGCACGGGCTGATACCATGTCTAATCACTACCGGCACTACGGGTGTAGCACGGGCTGATACCATGTCTAATCACTACCGGCACTACGGGTGTAGCACGGGCTGATACCATGTCTAATCACTACCGGCACTAGGGGGGCAGTGTTATTACATAATAACTGAATGAAGTAATAATACATTATAAATAATTAAAAACAACATCAATGTTTTGATTCTTTTTTATTTGAGTGTGTAGTCAGCCCCCAAACTCCTGTTTAATAGTTAATGCGGCCGTCGGACTGAAAAGTTTTGAGACCCCTGCTTTAGAGTAACAATAAATGTGTGTGTTGCTCTCTGTTTCTCTCTGTTTCTCTCTGTTTCTCCCTGTTTCTCTCTGTTTCTCTCTGTTTCTCTCTGTTTCTCTCTGTTTCTCTCTGTTTCTCTCTGTTTCTCCCTGTTTCTCTCTGTTTCTCTCTGTTTCTCTCTGTTTCTCCCTGTTTCTCTCTGTTTCTCTCTGTGTCTCCCTGTTTCTCCCTGTTTCTCCCTGTTTCTCCCTGTTTCTCTCTGTTTCTCCCTGTTGCTCTCTGTTTCTCTCTGTTTCTCTCTGTTTCTATCTGTTTCTCTCTGTTTCTCCCTGTTTCTCCCTGTTTCTCTCTGTTTCTCTCTGTTTCTCTCTGTTTCTCTCTGTTTCTCCCTGTTTCTCCCTGTTTCTCTCTGTTTCTCTCTGTTTCTCCCTGTTTCTCCCTGTTTCTCTCTGTTTCTCTCTGTTTCTCCCTGTTTCTCTCTGTTTCTCTCTGTTTCTCCCTGTTTCTCTCTGTTTCTCTCTGTTTCTCCCTGTTTCTCTCTGTTTCTCTCTGTTTCTCTCTGTTTCTCCCTGTTTCTCTCTGTTTCTCTCTGTTTCTCCCTGTTTCTCTCTGTTTCTCCCTGTTTCTCTCTGTTTCTCTCTGTTTCTCTCTGTTTCTCTCTGTTTCTCCCTGTTTCTCTCTGTTTCTCTCTGTTTCTCTCTGTTTCTCCCTGTTTCTCTCAAATGTATAAAGCCATTTCTTTATTGAGACTGCGGACATAAATTAAGTATTCCTGCAATCCAGAAATCCAACACAAGTTTATTTCTCTCGCAGTTCCATAATGACATATATAACGAACCGAATGACAGTAGGCCTACCCATCACAGTCGCATATATAACGAACCGAATGACTGAAGGCATACCCATCACAGTCGATCACGGTTTCACTTAACGTTGATACGAAAAGAAACGTCCTTTATCTTTTGAGAACGTAGGTGCCAATAGATCAGCGTTTCCCAAACTGTTAAGTTTCACGGACCAGTGGACACGTTTCGAAACTGCACCAGGGACCGGTGACATATTTATTAATTACATTTTCGTTCTATTTAAACATTAATATTCATGCTGTCTGGCCCGGTAACGTAAGGCTTGTGGACCGGTGCCGGTCCATGGAGCACCGTTTGGGAAACGCTGCCATGCTATAGATCATTTAGTTGTGGGGGGGGGGGGGGTCGGATTTTTCAAAATACAAGGCGCAGGCGTAATTGGGTCCAGTCCCCCCCCAACGCACCCCCTCCCGCAAAATTAAATTTTAAATATGAGTCATAGCTGCTTTTATATTTTAAAAAATTAACTTCTCTTAATTAACATTATTTCTTAGTGAAGATTTGTTCCCCTTATGTCAATTCCGAATAATTGTTTCTCTTGCGATTTATATTTCTAAGTATTTTTTTGTTCGTTATTGCATGTTAGTGTAGTCATCACTACAGTAATTAAATGTGTGATACCACTCTTCTAAGTTAATAGATGAATGAACATATTTGTGTAATTCTATTTCTTTAACATCAATTGTATATTTGTAACAATCGGCTTCCGAAAAAGGGAGGACACACATCATTAAACAATCGCTAAAAATAAAGCTTTTCGTATAAGTCCTTTCTAAAATGTATTAACGAGCAAAAGAGGGGGGGGGGTGGAGCTGACAATTTTACAAAACATGCAAACGGAAAACGCAATTTTTAAAGAATCCCAATTAGTGCTCAGGGGTCGTTCGCAAATTACGTCACGCACGGGGGGTGGGGTAGGGGTCGAGAATTTGTGACAGGGGGAGCGGTCGAGATCACAAATTTGTGTCGTCATGAACAAAAGCGAAGTTAATATAAAGTATTTCAAAAGACATGCACCCACACAGCATCACGGCCTTAACATAATTTTGTTAACTTTCTAAACAAGATTATGGGGAACTTAGCATGTTAAAATACGGCATTTTTCAACATGGACATTGAATTTGATACAATAAAATTGATCTATACTCACCTTTTGTGTGTATGCGTTTGGATGTAAATATAAAATAAATTCCGTACTCATTAAGCTTGCAATAGCGAATACAGTAAGATGGGTTTATAAATACATTAAACATGTAAATATTTTATTGATTTCAACAACCGTTGCGACTTACGATCTGCTGAGGCGTTTGGGTTAGTTTTGTGGGCCAAGAGAAACAACTCACACCTTTCAACATTGTATGGATATTATTTGGATATCTTCCCTTACATCAAAAAAAAAATCGTTGGAACAAACGCACTTCATGGATGGATGGATGGATGGATGGATGGGTGGATGGGTGGGTGGGTGGGTGGGTGGGTGGGTGGGGTTTGGTTGGGTGGGTGGGTTTTGGGTGGGTGGGTGGGTGGATGGGTGGAGGGTGGATGGGTGGATGGATGGATGGATGGATGGATGGAGGGAGGGAGGGAGGGAGGGAGGGTGTAGGGAGGGAGGGAGATAGAGATATATGTATATATGTTACGGTCAAAGCCCGAAATCGACCAAAGTGAGAACTGGCCGGTCAAATCGGGAAATAGCCAGTATGACCTCACATGACCGGCCAAGATCATATCTTTTCTTAATTTCGGCATTTGGCCAGTAAGTTATCGAAATGCTGTGGGGTGACCGGCCAAAATCGGTAGGAAAGGGTCATGAGCAGATTTTGGGTGTGTGTATACCGCAATGAGAATCACATTATATTGAATATTAATTATACTAAATTACCAAAATCAGTCTGATTAGTTTATTGTGGTAAATTATCAATCTCAATCATCACTTGTTACAATAAAATGATCTTTGATGACATTTCGAATTGCACAGCAGTTTGTTATTTTTACATTTGCAGTGATTTATTGAGCACTTGGTGGTGAAATTGCATCGAATGTAGCCTTGACCGCCGGTTAGTGACTGTGAAGACACATCGAATGTAGCCTTGGCCGCCGGTCAGTCAGTGTGATGACACATCGAATGTAGCCTTGGCCGCTGGTCAGTCAGTGTGAAGACACATCGGATGTAGCCTTGGCCGCCGGTCAGTGAATGTGAAGACACATCGAATGTAGCCTTGGCCGCCGGTCAGTCAGTGTGAAGACACATCGGATGTAGCCTTGGCCGCCGGTCAGTCAGTGTGAAGACACATCGAATGTAGCATTGGCCGCCGGTCAGTGACTGTGAAGACACATTGAATGTAGCCTTGGCCTCCGGTCAGTCAGTGTGAAGACACATCGAATGTAGCCTTGGCCGCCGGTCAGTGACTGTGAAGACACATCGGATGTAGCCTTGGCAGCCGGTCAGTGACTGCGAAGACACATCGAATGTAGCCTTGGCCAAGTGAGTGTGAAGACACATTGCATGTAGCCTTGGCCGCCGGTCAGTCAGTGTGAAGACACATCGGATGTAGCCTTGGCCGCCGGTCAGTGACTGTGAAGACACATCGGATGTAGCCTTGGCAGCCGGTCAGTGACTGCGAAGACACATCGAATGTAGCCTTGGCCGCCGGTCAGTGACTGTGAAGACACATCGAATGTAGCCTTGGCCACCGGTCAGTGATTGTTAAGACGCGCTGGTTCGTGGTGATTTTATTTTCTGTGCCTACGGACGCCAATGTGAGCATTTTCTCGTAGAGAGTCAGAAACTCACTTCTGGAATACAGTTGTTTTAGAACACCGAGTTATGTTCCTAGCTGGTAGAAAGCGCCCTCGACGTTCATGACAACTGCAAGCAGGGTTTCTTTCAGCTATATCTCCGGAAAGCCAAGTGCCCCCCTGAGCAAAAATATGTTCAACAATAAATCAACTGGCACTGCCCCCACGAAAAAAATGAAGCCCCCCTCCCCGGGCCGCCCTTGGGGGGGGGGGAATTTTCTGAAATAATCACTGACTGCAAGGACGCTTCATGGATCACCGCG